CATACAGAATTACACAAATGAGTTACAATACAACATCGACAAGAAAAATTACATACACAACTGAACAAGTACGGTACATTTCAACACTTTAAAAAAAAATTAAAAAGACATGATCAGTATGAATTGACTAAAGTTCTCTAATGAGAAAATGTTTCCGAGGTAAATTATTAATTCTCTAACCACCAAATAAAATCCTATCAGATGATTGTAGCTGCACTTTTTAATACTCCAATATTCCTCAAGCACAGGCGAGTAAAAACTTTATGTAACTAAAATTGAGTACCAGAAGTAATTGTCGTGTCTGCTGGACCAAAACTTAACATTTTATGCAATTTCAATACAATAATTTACAATGTATCGCCAAGATCTAGTGATTGCAGACAACAAATATCTGAGTATTAGCAATAAACTACTTGATTACTAAAATTAATAACTGAATTGCCACCTGGTGATGCTTCTCACCGGAAGCTCTGAATGATCACAGAAATGAAATGTACAAAAATTCAGTCAATCACTTACTTGTGCCACAACTCTGCTCAAATTTTGTACAAATTTACAAAAACAAGAATAAAACAAGGAGGATAAAAGGAAACATCGATTGCACAGTCTTATGCTTACGTACATTCTGTGATTTAGAGTGCAAGCAAACATGAAAATTTCTACTAACAGGTTACCTACAGAAAAATAATACAAATAAGAATACTCTACATTCGAGCCAATGGAGGACTTGGTCTCGATGAAGAACTTGATGTTGCTGTCATCGCTCATCACCACTGACAATCTAAAATCTCACTCAGGCCACAAAGTAATCTTTGCTGAGCACTAGCTTTCGCCACTTAACATGCACCTGAAACATAATGAAAGAATAATCAAGTCATATTTTCTCAGTTCCTTTAAACTTATGGATTTTAATCATGAGATTTCATTTCTCTCAAATGGATTTAAGCATCTGTTACTATTAATTTATTTTCCTTCTTCCAGGTTGCTCCCTGTCTAGGTACATGCCAAGAATTACTTTCCTGCAAGTGCTCAGAATCGTATCTCGGAATGGATAAAATTGATTTACTGTGAATGGTGTCGCATCTGAATGTGTGTGGTAAGAAAGTTTCCTTTATTAATCATTTTCCCACACGTTCACACGCAGCCAGGCCTGGTTGATTTTTTACGATTAAAGTAAAGAAGCAAGGATACAAGAAAAGCAATTTTTCATTTCTTTATTTACTCTTTTAGCCTTCAAAGTTGTTTTGGGGTGCCCTCGAGAACTCATTTAAAGTCCTAGATTTTAACAATTAAAAGTCCCTTAAAGTCCTTAATTTTGCATTCAAAAATTTGTCATAAGCCATGAAATGGTACCTGAATGGAAAAAAGACTGTCTTAATGTAGAGACTTCTGTTAAGGAAAAAGCATGACCTACCTTTTTCGGTGAGATTTAATGATGACACACTTGTTACTGGATGGTATACATAATCAAGTGTGGTTCAATATCTTGGTCAAGAGATGGGTTAGTCTTGATGAAGGCTTTCGTGTCATCGTGTAGTTCCCACTGACCATTTTGCCGTCTCGCATAGGCAACGAAATGCGATCTGATCGGCACATACTCGATCACACCACTCAAAACGTACCTGAAACATAATACAAGTATACTCAGCTTGCTTCAAAATCATTTATAGAACTGTTCCTTACTATCATTTCAATTGTCTCTCAACGTGCCACTTTTGACTTTGGAATGAAGCTTCATCTAAAACTTAACTTTTGCCGAAATGAACAGAAAATTTAAAAGCCTCATGGAATAATTGTAATATTTTCTCATTATCATCATAGATCATTAGCAATAGATAGATACTTCTCTACTGGTTAAATTTTGTTTTTGCCTCTTCTCTAGGTTTCACATCAGTGGACTACGCCATACAAATTCCTTAACTTGAATCATTCAGAAGAATTTTGTTGAAGAATCTATCTATTGCTAATGATCCATGATGATAATGAGAAAATATTACAAAACAGTTACACACACTGAGGGGTCTCTTATCCAGAATTGCAAGGTTAGTGTTTATAATCAACCTCAGACAGTTTTACATCAAATTCAAGCTTATTCTTAGGTATAAGCCAATTCTTAACAATTTATCGTTTACTTTGACAGGTTTCTTTCCCCTCCCTTCCCCCCCCCCTTTTCATATCCTTTCTTTTTGAAATTTTCACCTGCTGCAAGCAATATGTTTCGAATTTTTGTGCAAATATCTGAATGAAAATTTCGAATTATTCAACAAGTACGGCTGAATTTTCATCTTCGCGCCTCTCATGAAGGAAAATTTTAATCTGTAGAAAAATATGTTATACCTTTTCTTGTCCACTTCAATGGTGACATCCAAGTTCTTGATCCTGAATGTGCCCTTGAAAGATGGCTCCAATTCTCGGATGCAGTGGGCTCCTCTCTTGAATTCATCCACAGTCAAAAGCAAATGTAGGTCTGTCTTGAAGTAGGTGAACTGCAATTGTACATTGCATGCAGGACACATCTGTTCGACCTTTTCTCTCAACTCATCACTAATCAGCAATTCAACTTGGCCACCTTCCAAGTGCTTGAGAGAGTGAATTGCTGGTCTAATGAATGCCAGATTTTCCTCTTCTTCGTAACACTTTTGGGACAAGCAAGTAGTTTTCCGGACAGCAGATGGTGCAGTTTCGCAAAGAGCTGCTACATCGTCAATGAAGCAGAAGCAATCTGCACTAGACGACTCCATTCTTGCCACCTTATTGACTATGAGTACTTGTGCTCTTGCTGCATATCTGTCGATGTCTCGGTCAAGTGCAAGGAACGCCAGGTTGATGACTTGGTTTGCAGTACGGTACATGGACGCCATTTCTCGGTATGTCTTGTTCTCTTGCAAGGCCACTGCCATTACAGAAACAAGGCTATCAAGAGCGCAAGTGTTCTTCAGCATAATCCTTTTGTTGTCGTGCAGGATTGGCGATAATTGGTTGCCATTCACCAAAAAAACGCTTTTAGTGTTCAGCTGATCTAGTTCGACCGGCAGCGCTTGGTAGTCCTGCTCCACGATGGAGTCCTCCAAGGGATAAACTCCCAGATCCTCCTCGGCAGTTCGAATTGCTTGGGTTTCTGTCTCTGCTGCTTTTTTTGCTGCAGCTCTTTCCTGACGCTCCGTTCTCTTTTGCAGCATTGCTGCCTCCTCATGGCTCGATCTGATGGGCATGGATCGGCATAGCCGAGGATCAACAATCTCAGGTGCCACATGGTTATGGAAGAATGGGTCCAGTTTGGCAACCATTGCTTCCCAGAATGTTTGCTCAAATTCGATGACCTCAATATGCACGTCTACCAATGTCCAGACGACAAAATAGCAATGTGTTGCTTCGGTAATTGCCAATTGCCCCTGAACCTGGTAAAAGTAGTCATGGTTACGTTTGAGGGCAACAGTCCCGGTAGCTGGATCTCGCTGCAAGCAAAAATCTCGCTTCTTCTCCGCAGCCTCCAAGATGGTCATCGCGCGCGCCGAGTATGGGCATTTTATCTCTACAACAGCCTTTTCACCTATAACCAAGGCATCAGGTGAAGCTGCAAGGTAAGGCCGCTCTAGATCGATAAAAACTCCGCATTTCTTTGTTTGCTTTCCAAACACGTCCTCAAATTTCTTGAGTGCTTCGTCCTCATGGTCATTTCCCCAATCGGTTGCTGCACTTTTGAATTCTACTTTGTATAGGATTGACTTGACGGTGCGACCAGGAAGGGTAGATGGTCGCATCTTGCAAATGCGCGCATAATCCGAAGCAGTGAGCCGGTAGCGGCGTTCTGCCCACCACTGGTCACATTTCTTCTGAGCTTTGGTTTGCTCGACGATCAGATCCCTTGTTTTTCGATCAACTTTTAAGGTTTCTACTAACTTCTTGATGGCGGCTATTAGTTGATCCTGTGGCATGTCGGGCTTTCGGCAGTTTCTGCCGTAATCTGCAGACGGATCATCATCCTCAGACTCTATATCTAGGTCATCTGGGTCATCTGGGTCATCCAGATCCTCCCCTTCCGACCCTGGAGACGTAGGCTCTGAGGGGAAAAGATTCCTTCTTTCAAGTTTTGCAGCAGCGTTCCGCTCTGTACGAAGAGCCCTTCTAGCATCAACTCGCTTCATGAAGCTGGAGGGCGTCTTCTGATGCAGGTCACGAAAAATCTTTGACCTCCATGTTTGGCCGTGGTTGTATATGAGGCCTGCTATGAAAGTTCTCAGAATGTATGAGTTTCTTCTCCCATAGAACAGCCTCTTTCCACTGCTGAACTTCGTTGTGAGGTTCATAAAACTCTCACAACGGTTTGTTGTTAAATACTCAGCAATACTAGAGGCATGTCTTGTTAACTGAGAGATGATACGGCTGAGATCAACAGCAAACTCTGTCGAGAGGTCCAGCCTCTCCGTGGTTCCTTTCTTAGGACAAAACCGTTCCTGGCATTTCGTGTGGTTCCCCACGAAGTGGTCTCCGAGATTTTGGATGACCTCTGTGATAACGGCGTGACTCTGCTTCTCTTCAGAGAGCTTTTGGACGACATGCCTC